CTTCTTTTGTCGACGTATACTGATCATATTGGGTGTTAGTATGATTACAAGTCGATTTCCAGAGGTGGGTTATTGATTCATTAGGAGATGACTTCAGAGCACAGCGGATAGTTGTTTGACATTGTATGAATTTAGTTGATGGGGGATAATGTTCAGACCAAATTTGTTGCTGGTTAGGTAAATATTACTAAGTGATCCAGAAATAGGTACCTCAAGCCATTTACGAATGTACTGTTTGAAAACTGAGTCCAAGTTTTCAGAAATCCACGTTTTCTTAATTGATGTTATAGTGAAATGCCATGAGAGTTTGGAAAGAACGTAGCGACTGTAAAGGAGAATCTTGTTTCTCGGATGTAATGGCTTCAGATCTATTTCTTTTATTAGGTCTGTCAATAGGGATACTAATTCCGATTTATGTTCATTAATTGTCGTTTCGTAATTAAAGTACCTTCCTAAATAGCAGAATTATTTTCCACTTTCAATAGCCGGAATAATAGACTTGTTAATGATTAACTTAGGGAGGTATTGAACTGATTTGATAAGAGCTTTTTTGATGCCAAAGGTGGTACATTTATCTACTCGAATAATCATGTCTGACCATTGACACCAAATTGCAAAACGGTTTAGTAGGTGTTGATTTTCGGATTCTTGGCCGGTTATTACGGCTGCGTCGTCAGCGAACTGGAACCAATGAATTGGGTTGAGAAGTTTATAGGAAAAACCAAACTGTTGATATTTCTCCGATTTTATGTGCTGAATAAAAGTATTAAAGCATAGATTAAATAGTAATGGACTGAGGCAATCTCCCTGCAAAACTCCACGACCTACCTCTACAAATGGGGTGTTAAAATCAGATGTGATGATTGATGTTTTAAAGTTTGTGTAGAGGCTTTTAATCATGAGTTGAATATGTTGAGGTATGTGATGATAGCCAAGAACAGATTGGATTAAATTGTGATGTACTTCACCAAACGCATTCTTGAGGTCAAGAAGGGTTATAACGAGAGATCGCTGTCTTATTCGTGTTTGATTGAGTATATAAGCCATTCGTGCTGTATGTTCTAAATGTCCCCGATATATGAGGGGTGAAGCCCTTTTGAATTTCGTGCTCGATAAAGTTATTGGCGAGTAGGTAAGAGAACATTGCATTACGGAGACTTGAAGTGAATACTTTCAGTGGTACGGATTGAAGAGTTATTGGACGGAAGTTCTCGGGGAGATTAGCATCATTTTTCTTGTGGATTAATATAGTACAAGCTTTCTTCCATTCGTCAGGTACAGATCCAGAAAGCCAGACTGCTTGAATTAGTTCGGTTAAATATGTTCGAAGGTATGGGCAACGCTTAAAACTTATAATGGAGATTTGATCTAGAGGACAAGGTGAGCCAGATGTTTTCATTTTACGAATAATATTTGTTATTTGTCGGTAAGTTGGAGGTTCAAGGTCAAATTCAATAATGGGATCGTGTAACATTGAAATCCAACTTGGAATTTGAAATATTTTGTTTGGGTTGACCTTAGTCAGGACTGTCTTAAAGTACTTTAAACAGTCGTCCATATTGAAGACAGGGAGAATCAATTCGCTGCAATTTATAACTTTCTTGACATATCCCCAGAAATTACGTTCAAAGTATTTATCGTGGTTAAACGACTCATTGGTACTATTATGCATGTTATCATTAGTTGTGTTAGATTTCAGCTTATTTCGCACGAGACGAGAGACATATTTAATTTCGGCAAGATCAGAGTTAGATAATTTAAGTGAAGTGAATTGAAGTGAAGTGAAAGGCTTTATTTACTGAGGGTAAACACGTGACAGTAAGAAACTGATAAACTTGTGGCCCTCAAAATTTACAAAATTTAAGATATTAGAACACAGTCCCTATTTAAAGTTAAAGTTATTAAAACACGACCCTAACGCTGCAACCTATTTGCACATATTTGATCATGTAAAAACTGTTTATAAATACTACGCCTAAAACTAAAAGCAGAATGTATACTTCTAACGTTCAAATCTAATTTGTTCCAGTCTATAATTGTTCTTACAGTGAAGGTTCTGCCTCCTTCTGTTTTACGATTGTAAATTGGGCATAGCATATTCAAATTCGAATAACGTGTATTCCTACTATGCCTGTCTGAATTTCGCGCTATTAAAAGAGTGAATTTAGATAGCTAGGAGTATTATAAGCACTATTTACACGCTTATACGCTATCATTATTCTCTTGATCAAAGACTCCTTCGTAAAAGGAAGCCAATTTAAAGTGTTAAACATAACAATTGAAGGTGCCATCTTTTCTGCATCCAAAATAATCCGGGCTGCCCGCTTTTGAAGTTTCAATACTCTTTGAAAACATTCAGCATTGCAATTATCCCAGATTACACTCCCGTACATCATCGTAGGCTTTATAACACTATTAAAGTACAACTCCCTTTGCTGTTTCTTGTGGCACGGACTAATGTGTTTGAGAAGACCAATGTGTTTGAGAAGACTAATGTGTTTGAGAAGACCATATAAACGTTTTTACTGTATGGATTTTATTACCATGTTGCTAAGTAGTAATACCCAACCTACATCCAACACTTTGCATGAAACTACCACTGAAGTGAGTCAATTACCAACTATTACCAAGGATATGAACACTGGGACATCCAGTGACATGACAAATGCCCTAAATCCCACTACACCCCTAAATCCCACTACACCCCTAAATCCCACTACACCCATAAATCCCACTACACCCCTAAATACCACTACACCCTCGAATCCTATTACACCCCCAAATCCCACTACACCTTCGACTCCTACTACACCCTAGAATCCTGCTACACCCTTAGATCCAACTAAACCTGCATTTACACCTGTTAATGCTCACACGGTCACACCCAACCTGTTAACCATTTACAACCAACTACTACAAGTCCCCTAGAGCAAATGCAAAGAGAGACATTTGAAATTCAAAAACAACAAGTAGAATTAATGAAAAGGATGTCTCTTCCGACTCCGAAACTGCCTGTATTTAGTGGTAATATTTTGGCCTACCCAAAGTGGATGTTAGCTTTCGACGCCTTGATCGACCGTGAAGCTGTAAACCCAGCACATAAGTTATATTACCTTGGAGAATATACTAGTGGACAAGCCTAGAAAATGATTGATGGATTGTTGGGACTGCAATCTGATGATGCGCATAAGAGAGCTAGGCAGATATTGCAAGAACGCTTTGGTGATCCATACAAGATTAATCAGGCATACAATGAAAGGCTTAAGTCATGGCCAGTATGCAGCAAAGCTTCCGAACTTCAGGAATTCAACGACTTTCTAGCAACAGTGAAAGAAACTATGAAAACAGTGAAACACCTCAAGGACTTTGACACCTTTTCTGCTATTCAAGACCTGGTAGTAAGACTTCCACCTTATTGCAGCAAGAAGTGGTTACAAAGTGCGAAAGCGGTTGAGCTTGGTAAGGGAAAGTATGATTTTAACGACCTAGTTGACTTTGTGCAAAAGGCAGCAAAGGATGCAACTCATCCAGTGTTCTCGCATGAAGTTCTGTTATCTAAGAGAAAGGAGTTGTTGAAAGACAAGAAGCAAGAAGATAAGAATAGTTATCACAAGAGAAAGTTTGGCTCATTCAACACAAGTAAGTACAATGAAAGCTCTAGTCATAGCGATAAGAACACAAATGAACTGATGCGCCCTGCGCGTAGAAAGCCCCACAAATTGGAGAACTGTGACATATTCCTCAAGACGTCTGTAAATGAACGATCAGAATTAGCTAAGTCGGAAGGGCTTTGCTTCCTGTGTTTATGTCATGGTCATATGGCCAGGAGTTGCAGGGATCCATTAGATGCCTGACATGTAAGAAACCCCATGCAACACTTCTCCATTTTGAATCCAAGGAGTCTAAGAATGGGAATAAGAAAGAGAACGAAGAGTCTAGCAAAGAAAAGCCTAAAGTAGCTAATCGTGTCGTAGTGTGTCATAGCAATGATTGCAATGAAGTAATAACATCGTCTTTGATACTTCCGGTATGGATATGTCACAAGGACAATCCTGAGAAGAAAATCATGACATATGCTGTTTTAGATGATCAAAGTGACACATGCTTTGTAACGGACAGCGTTTGTGATCAGTTAGAAATTGAAGGACCTGAGACTGTGATTGAGTTAGGAACAATGCATGTAGTAGAAGATATCAGAACCCAGAAGATTCGCGGTCTTATTGTTTCATCGGAAGATAAGTCAGTTGATGTACCCTTACCAAAGGCTTATTCCCGAGGAAATATTCCAGCACGTCGAGATCAGATCCCTAGAGTAGAAATGGCGATCAATTGGAGTCATTTGAGTCAAATTGCCAATGAAATAACAGAATATCGTGATGATCTTGGTATTGGTCTCCTAATTGTAAACAATTGTGTCGAAGCTATCAGACCACGTGACGTTATTCCCGGGAAACCTCAAGACCCGTATTCTATTAGAACTGTATTCGGTTGGGGCTTAATTGGAGTAACAAACCCTGTTGACCACCGCAAATGCCAGTAAGACGGAACTAGAATGCATTGCCATCGAGTTACAACCAAAGATATCACAACCCAGAGTACCGGTTCAACCTTTGTAGAGAAAACCCAAGTAAACGAAGTATTGAATCCTCACGAAGTGTTAAAGATGTTTGAACATGACTTTTCGGAAAGGAAGAAAGAGAAACCAATGTCGTTAGAAGATCGAAAGTTCCTGAATATAACGAAAAGAGAGATTCAGGTTACTGACGATGGACAATATGAGTTGCCACTTCTGTTTCGAAACGACAAAGTTGAATTACCGTCCAACAGAAAGCTTGCTGAATCAAGGTTAGATGGCCTTAAAGCAAAGTTCTCCAAGGATGTCAAATACAAAAGAGATTATATGAAATTTATGGATGATATGATGAAGAAAGGCTACGCTGAGAAAGCTCCACAGACTGATGGAAAACCGTGGTATATACCTCATCATGGAGTGTACCATCCACACAAACCCAATAAGATCAGGGTCGTATTTGACTGCTCAGCCGAATATGAAGGTAAATAATTAAATCAACATCTTTTACAAGGACCTGACCTAACGAACTCGCTCACTGGTGTACTTTGTCGATTCCGCAAAGAAAAAGTAGCGTTTACGTGTGTCATCGAATCCATGTTCTGTCAGGTACGTGTGAATGAAGAGCATCGCGATTACTTGAGATTCTTGTGGTGGCCGGACGGAGATACATCGAAGGAGCCTGAAGACTACAGAATGCGAGTCTACCTATTTGGAGCAACGTCATCAGCCGGATGTTCCAATCGAGCGTTGAAAACCACGGCCAAAGCTGGTGAAGAAGAGTTTGGAACAGATGCCACCTCATTTGTCGAAAACAGATTTTATGTTGATGATGGGTTAAAGTCCGTTGAAAGGTAGAGCAAGCGACTAAGTTGATAAAAAACAGCATTGAAATGTGCCAGAAAGGCGGATTTTGTCTACACAAGTTTACTGCAAACAAGTGAGAAGTGATCGAGTCCATTCCCGTTGACTACAGTGCTATCGAAGTCAAAGAACTCGATCTGAGTCACGATATACTTCCGAGCGAACGAGTGCTAAGAATGGAGTGGTGCATCGAAAGTGATTCTTTTCGGTTTCGCATAATCTTAAAGGACAGACCACTTACAAGACGCGGGGTTTTGGCAACTTTGATAGCTAGTTAGACTGTCATGGCGGATAGACTTGCGATGGATAGCTCAATAATTATTGAGGATTATTTCACATTTCCTCAGAGTTAACATAAAGAAAATTCCTTAATAACATCGACACCGTCTAAGATAACTAATCTTATAAACACAGGCAATGAATTTGCCTGGAAAGACTCTATAGAAAGCTTAAAAATCTTTGTACAAACCGACCTAAATCTTTAAGGCAAGTGGACTTCCCCTGGTGGGGAAGTAAATTAAAGTTCTTTACTAGCAAGAATTATGTAATAAAATGGTATGGAAGAAATAAGAGGATCGTGCTTGTTAAAGATAACAAGGAACAAAGTCTCGTCGAGAAATTTAAAACTTTAGCCACATTGATCGAAGGCGAATTCAAAGGACATAGCGACGAGCAACACGCGGAAGCCGAAGATACATTTGGTATGGACAAAACGGGTGAGAATATACCGACTAAAAAGACATCTATACCTACACATGCCACAGAATACCGGGAAGACGTAGATAATTCAGAAATCGAGATGAAATCGACTAAATACGGTTGCGATTCTGGTAAAATTATAAATTCACAATGCCACTGCAGTGAGTTAGCAGTTCAATTCAAGCGTATCGAAGGTGACTTAAAACTATTGAAAAATCGAATTGAAGTTCGCGAAGCTGACGAAACTGCTTTGGTATGTAGGACTGATCATTCGAAGCGAAAAGAGTTATCTAAAAAGTGAGTTAGAAGTGGCCAATTCTAAAATAATAGATCTCCAAGCGAAAATCAAACATCTCGAAAATGAAAAATCTAGCTTGACAACGGCAATAAGAATAATACAGGAAGACAACTCTCTGCGGTCAAACGTAAACAATACTGAGGATGATCAAGGGGGAAACCAGTGGGTCGAATTAAATAAAAAGAAAAAGAAACGTAAACGCGATCAGACTCAGAAACTACAAGAAATACCAACAATTACTACGCATGAAAATTGTCCTCTCGAGACAACCTGTGCTGATGAGTCAAATGCTACTGTTCAAAAAAATGTAATCATCTCGAGCAGGCAAGGGAGAAAAGATGGATATCCGAACACTCAAGGAAATCATCAAAATCCTGTTAAAGTAATAATAGCAGGCGATTCCATGATAAAGCACATCAATGGATACAAGATGTCGACCTTCCCTGGATGTACCACACTAGACATGGATGACTATGTTAAGCCAGTATTAAGAAAAAAACCTGACAAATTGATTCTACACGTCGGCACAAATAGCCTGAAGGGTCGTGAGAATTCCACTCATTGCGCAGAAGAAATTATATCATTGGGAGAAAAAATAAAGAGATCAATCCCGGAGACGGAGCTAGTCGTGTCTGGCCTTGTCACTCGTTCAGATGGCGAAATGCTAACACGTAAAGTCAATGAAGTCAACGCAGCGCTGAAGGAATCTTGTATTCAGGAACATTGGAAATTCATCGACCACACTAACATTACAATTAACCAATTAAACCAGAGTAGAATCCACCTCAACAAAATAGGATCAAGTATGATGGCACGAAATTTTACAAACTATATTTACGATAGGAAGTGTTAGGATACAGCCATGTGGGAGTCCGTAAGTAATAATGCTGACGAACAATCTAGATTAGATGAAGAAATGCCAACAAAAGTGGGTGAGTTAAACGAACCAAGTTATTCTAATAGAAATAGCCTACCATATATAAACGTAAACAAAATACCATCTCATCGTGATATGGTAATGGCTTGTTTGAATATTAATAGTCTCTTATCCCATATTGATAAATTACGAATATTTACAAGTAGCACTAAAATAGACATATTATGTATAAACGAAACCAAGCTTGATTCCACAATTACCGATCAGTAGGTCTGTCTACCAGGTTTTGAAATTGTTCGAAGAGACCGAAGTGTAAATGGCCGTTATGGCGGCGGCGTTTGCATTTATATTCGGTCTAACATTAATTATAAAATAAGACATGATTTACATTTGGAAACTTTCGAAAATTTGATAGTAGAAGTAAAAAAAAACAAGATCAAAATCTATTTTGGTTAGTACTTGGTACAGACCACCTGACTCTCCTGCGAGTCATTTCGGTGATTTTGAAAAAATGA